GCGCTTGTCAAACACCAACCCATACTGCTTTACGCGCGGAACCACTTGAATTTGTTTCTTCTCTAGATCCCGTGTGAAATGATAAGGAGTGACAATGTTCAAATTTCGGCGAGAGTCCTGAGGCGAGTCTAGTTCCGAGAGAATGTTCTCTTTCATGGTGTGAAAATTAAGAATGGCGGACCCCCAAACATTCAGGGTGAAACCGCGGACCTTGCACACCACTTTACCTCCACGGGTCGTGTACCCATAATTCTTGGCGCCCCCCGAAACAAACTCGGTGATGACGTCTCCGTCCAATTCATCTGCCATGTCCCCCAGAAAATCCCCAGTGGCAATGCTGGGTTGACCCGGACGCCATCGGTAAATCACACTGTCTGTATCGTAGTAGAGGACTTGCTGTTGAAGGGTGTCCAGGGACTCGTAGAGCTTGAGTCGAGCATGGCACGTGGTGAACGCCGCCACAAAGATATTGGTCTTGGTGCCTTTGACAGCATTGTCTTGGACACTGGTGTAAACGGCCTCCAAAATGTCGTCGGTACAGAGACGGAGCGTACTGAGATCGAGAGCCGCGTCGGAGATCAGGCTGAACAAATGGGCGGGGTCCTTGACAGTGACGGTGGTGGGTTTGTTGATCCGCTCCCCAAACTTGCCCCAGAAACTGTTCAACATCAGTTTGGCCGTGGCCTTGCGACCGGGATTTTTGGCAATGCTGGCAATGTCCAGTCGGATCCCCTCCCGTTCCTGGTAACGAAGAATGTACTCTCGTTTCTGCTCGAGGGTCTGACACCAGCTGGGCCACCCCGCGGATTCTTGTTTGAGTTTGAGCCAAGTATTGACGTAATCAGCGAAAAGACCCGTTTGACGTTGCTCAGGGGGAAAATGCCAGACTTCATGGATCTTGATCAAGGTGTACCCCTTTTCCACAGCTTTGACCGGTTCGGGCGTGCACCAGGTCCCACGTAACGTGCGATCCGCGTCCGAATGAGGGCAATACTGGGTTCGGGTCAACATGGGTTGGGCTTGTTCCGCCTGGACACAGGCACGGCAGAGAGGAAAGGTGAGCTTTTGGCCACAGCGTACAGGTAAGACGGGGTGGAATAAGCCAGCCGGAGGCAGAATGTCCACCGTAGCAATACCAAAATAAGACTCCAGGGACTGGTCGACGGGTTGGGTGATGATCTTGGGATGACCAATACGGTAAGGGCAGTTTTTGTTCACCCATGGGTACAGGGAGGTCACATCCACATAGCGTATTTCCTCCCCCTCTTCAGCCACGGCATGGAGAGCCACTGCACCGGTGCGACCCCCAAAGAAGGCGTCAAGGGGTTCCAGGGGAGCCACCAGATCAAAGGAAGCCAGAAACTGAGAGACAGCGGGCTCGTCATCAACCAGTCGGTCCCATTCACATTCCCACATTTCGATGACGGTGTAACCCGCTCGGAGCAGGGCCATGCGTTTGGAGAGCGTGGCTTGATAGAGTTCTTCCACGCTTCGATCCGGTGTGGCATAATGTTTGGCGTTTCTCATAGGATAACAAGTGGGACAGCCATGATAGAGACACCCATGAAATTCGTAGACAGTGCCGGTCAGAGGATCGTAGCCATCGACGAAATAACTGTTCACGAGGGTCCGGACAAACTGCTCGCCCCCATTCCGGACATGTCGAATGCGATCGGCACTGGCTCCCTCCTTGGGAAGGAGATGTTCCTGATAATAGAGCCATTGCAGGGCCTTGAGCGATTGATTGACTTGGGCGCCTCGCCAACCCCTTAGTGGTTAGACGGCAATGGTATCGGGGGTCAAATGATGCTTGCGCCAATACAGATTGCAGGCACTGGCAATCGTGATGCATTTGGCCATGGGATTGAAACCGGCCTGCCGTTCAAATTCTTGTTGAAAAGCTTCACACCCCGCTTTCAACAGAGCCACATCTGATTTGCAGTACTCGATCATTTCTTGACGGAAATCAAAACGCACGTTACGACGGACTTGGTCGGCATGCCAACGCGTCAGTTCGTCTTTCTTTTTGGCCATCATGCCCTCGGGATCGTAAAATTCCAAATCGGGGATACGGCCCACATACTGTTGATGATCCGGGGTATTGAACAA